CTTACCACCTATGCTCATTAAAATTCTTGTATCTCCATTATGTTAATTATGCTCCTTTAAGTTATACACAATAATAATTCATGAACTTATTGAGATTTTATAAATCTCACTCTATGATATTTTCTCCTTTCAGGCAATTAATAATTCAAGACAATCAACATAAAAATGACAACAGTCTAAGTTTAATAAATTACTTTGTGTTTAAAACACAACTTTAAATTTCCAATTTAGTTTTTATGTTGAAATTATTTTCTTTATTTCATTTTTTGTACTTATATAATAAAACCAAAATTTAATTACTTATCGAAGAAAAATAAATTTATTTCTTGTTCTTAATTTAGTTCTCATGAAAGAATTTTGAATATTATTTAATGATTATCGAATAATCAAGAATTCGGACCTTCACAATCAACTTATCCATCCCCTTACATGAAGAGGGCCCACCCCGAATAAAGCATATTTTATTTGACGTGAACCTCCCTCTATATAAGAGAGTGAACACCTTGATATACATTTCTTAATGTACAAGTGGAATAACCATTTGATATAGATCTCTTAAAACTAATAGTACAATCTATCTCAACTATTGTAGCAATCTTACTTTCTTTTATATCAAACTAGTTAATTCCTATCCAAAAAATACTAAATTATAGTACCATTAGAACTTATGTGAAATAGCATTGGGCATTAATATTTTTAAGCTAACGTATTAAAATATATCAAGGACATTCCAAAGTCATTATAACAATTTATGTATGGTTACAGCTTCTACTAGTGTCCTTGGCAACTTATAATAACAAAGAGCTTGTTTGATAAAGATTTTGATAATTGATTTTTTGATCTTTAGAGATAAAGTAGATCCTACCTGTGAGAGAAGAATTTCAAAAATGAAGGTTAAAATAGTAAAATAACGATAAAAAAATTGACTTTAATCCGTAACAAACACTAAATAACCCATTGGACTGAGTAAGAGGATGAAATAGAATACCTGAACTGTTACGCTACTAACAAGTTTCTAGAATTTAACCCTTGAAAGAGGAAATGGCTATATATACCTATACAAAATTGATCTTCTATGTATGAGTGATATAACACATTACAATAAGTAAGCTATCACATTGACTTGTTACCTATTTTAGTATGCTATGTCACTTGGTGCTTTAGCATAAGCTAAACACCACTGATATTTAAAAGATCAATTCCGAATATATATATATATATATATATATATATATATATATATAAAACAAACACAACTAATTGCAGGAATTGGGAAAATTCCTGTTTCAGATAAAAACATACAGCAGAAATCCATTCAACCAAAATACATTATACACAACCTATTACTCTTTTCCCATGTAGGAAAAGTAAACCAGCTTTTACCTATACAACTCGTCGTAGATGCGACAAACTTCAAATTAGCATTTAACGACCAAACTCATGGAAAGCCATGATGCTTGGGAATGATACACACCGCCATAGAGAAGGAATCTTTAGCTAACATCACAAGTTAAAAAATACTTCTTGTTGTGTGTGGATCTTTTAACTTCCACAAGCCAGGCACTCATCGCGGTTAGTTAAAGAGCATACCATCTGCACCATTTGAGTATTCTCATCATCAACTGTCGCCTTGGGCTCATCCTGCAATGGAATTACAAGACCATAATGAATTTTAAAATTATTGTAAGCGAATTGAGATGAAGACGATCACACCATTCAAAAGTGTGTACCTTTATCGTGGAAGTGTCGACTGTAAATTTAATAGCATCAGCTGCTGCACGTGATCTTAGATAGTACATCCCTGTCTTCAAACCCTTCAAGTCGAAGTACGAGGAACAAGAATCAGGAGTTTAAAATTGAACAACAAACACAAACATGCAAAATCATCAAGCTACAGATATTTTTTCCAAATACGCAACATCCACACTCCATTCCATTATTCCCAGTTCTATTAAATGTAACATTCTGGTAGAAACCACAACTAGACTATATTCAAACATCAAAAAAACTAATGTCTGGATGAAAAGCATAAAAATCAAGCATATATAATAAACTAGTGTACCCTGGACCAGGTATGGAAGTGCAGGGAAGTAAGCTTTCCAAAATTTGGTTGGTCCATGTGGATGTTAAGGCTTTGACTCTGGTCTATGTAACATCCACGATCAACAGCCATATCAACCAACACTCGTTGTTTGATCTCCCAAACAGTCCTGATAGAATTAAATATATTAGTATAGGAAAACAAGGAAGATAAATAGAATGAAAATGTCTCCTAAACTTTAAGTCCATACTTGTAAATAACTTTAAGTTCTTCAGGAATCTCAGGAATTTTCTGAACAGAACCATCCTCATATATTATCCTGTTCTTAAGAGCGGGCGACCAAAGACCCATCTCAATCAAGTCGTGAAGAAGATGTTTGTTCACCACAACAAATTCACCACTGAAAAGAACGTCAGCATGTAAAAATAAAATTATGGTTAGCAATATCTAAATCAAATGGAGATGTATAAATTAACAAACT